AGACTAGCCTCCTGCTGTAGTGATTGCACAATTGTGTGGCCCAAGGGCTACTGAAACTGAGATAGGCACCACCCTATGCACCATGTGGTGCGGGAAGGACTTTATCTTTTAACTAACACAGAAGAAAGGGCAACTAACAGTAGATGATAGGTAGTTTATAGTATTATTGTAATGTATAGATTTCTAGCACTTCGCATTAGAATATAGCGTACCAGTATGAAATACTCATGTTTTACATACTGGATATCTCCTTGTGCATTTAGCCCATCTGGGCAAGAACATGCAATAAAGATTCATATCATATCATATCATATCATATCATTATGACCTACCTTCTTAGTTCAGCCTCCAACAATCCCAACATAGTAACAGACCTTGTTATGACCCTAACAGCAACACACACCAACACTGTAAACCGAATCTAATGACGCAAACTACTTGACTTCTAGCTGACACTTTTCCTTTCAAGTCACGTGCGTCACCAGTCAAGTTGAACGACTTGCGTCCTTGTTCCGACACTTGAGACGTTGGGAGGATGTAGGGAGTGTACTTGACTTGGCAGGGGTATTTTGGTTTTCTGTCTGGAGTTCTTTCGTGTTAAAGTACAGCACAGGTCATGAGTGAAAAGTCTTAAGGTCGTTTTTACAGTTGACAGTGTCTAATTCTGGGGTGTGTGGATGAAAAAACGTAGAGTAGACTAGAGTTAAGTAGGATAGTTTGGGGACACATTTTTACATGTTTCACTTTCACAATCAAGCTTCCATGCTTTCAATGTCAAGAGTCATTTCATGATACACGTACTGTATAAAGCATGCCAATAATATATTTTGGCATCCTTATGCCAGTTACAACATAAATTGTACATGTAGTCTTCCTAGTCAAAAGAGATTTGAGAGTACTATTTTTCCAAAGCCGAAGTTTATGTACAGTATAGCCATACAAAAAGTGCTGCTGTAACTCCCAGGAACAAGCTACAAGCATTAGCAGGATCCCCCCATGCAGACCCTCAACAAGATGACCAGATTACAGCATACATGTTGTTGCGAGGAGGAGAGATCTTGTCATGTTTGGCACTGCCTGGTCACTATTTGAGCCTACAAGGATAGAATCAACTGACAGGGAGTCACTGTACCATGTAATTTTTTATACAGGTCACAAGACTGCTTTGTGCAAGCCTGCTACTACTAGTACTATAAGCAGTTGCAAGATGAGACTGTGTCTTGCAATCATCATAAAAGTTGTGAGCACACGCAATATTGTGTTGTATAGTTTTCTCTTTTCGTTGCGCTATGTCACAAACCAACCTTCAACAAAGATATATGACTTTGAAGCTACATGTATAGTTGAAGAAAATTTTACCTCTTTTTTTTAAGTACTCTAGTCTAGGTAACAGACTTATAATGGTAGCTATTTCCTGGCTACAACAACAGATATTCTACTCATTTTCTTATCTGTCCAATTATCTTGCCTGTGGGTCTTTTTCACCTCCCTTGGGACAGGAAAAATGGACACCAAATGACAGGAAGTGTCCATTGTTTACACAGACCAGAATAACTGGTTACTGTAACTCCTGATTTCTTCACCATACTTTTATGTTCACGGTTTGCACTTCTGTTCCGTGAACTTATCATTACAGTTAACAAATAATTCCTGGACTTTCTTTTTCCTGCACCTGTCGCCACTGTGAATATGTAGTTCCGTGAACATGTCCATTTTTCTCAGACCGTGAAATTTTACTACCGTGAAAATAAAATGAATTACAGTACATAGTGGGAAGCTCTCTTTACTGTATGTTCTCAATTTACTTGTCTGGAAAAACACTTGCAACCATAAAACTACATTTACACTTTCTTCTATATTACACAGAGCTCAAAATTCACACTTACAATAACTGTAATTTGTAGGAGTTGTAGAAAAAAATTCGAGCAACCTGTAATTTGTAACAAAATTCAAACTCTACTACTGGATAGTACCTGTAATTGTACCTGTAGTACCTAGATCAACGTAACCTGTAATTTGGATTTTGGTAAGATAAAATACAGTTGGTTACAATAGACAGGATTCTTATTGTTTATGTTAGTGGGAAAATTCATCTAAGGGGCCACCAAAAAGTGGTCACATATTAGTACATAGGCCATGGAGATGTTTTTCTATCAGGATTTTTCTTGTTCTTCCTACTAAGTACATATGTTCCTACAAAGTCAGGCAGCAGGAAGGTTTACCCATGTTGACAAAACGTACACATCCACATTTTAGTCTAGCAGGTATACACAGAAAATTCCTTGATACAAGCTATAAACCTGGGTTACTCAAAAAGCGTCCAGTCAAATGAGAGAGAACAATACACATCTTCTACAAGACAATGGAAAATGATGCATGATGACTTTATTATGCACATTTCAGATGCATGCCATTGTGGGTATACACAGCAGGGGAGGGGGAGGGGCAACAATTCCATGGTAATCAACAAAAACAAAGACTGGGGAGGGGCTCTTCACAACTGATTTAGTGATCAAGATGGTATTTGTTGATATAGTAGATAACAATATGGACTTCAAATTGTAACAACTTTACTACTAAAATCAAATAACCCACATATCATAGAAGAAGCAGGGTAAATTCGTCTTCCATTGCCTAAACAGAAGAAGTCAAACCCAGCAAAACTAGTACCATGTATGTTGTAGAATATAGTATAATGTTAGACGTAATCCCACATACCATTGTATTTTCTTTCCTCATAGTCATACATGTTGTTTGTAACTGCAATTAGCCCTCGGGCAAGTATTTGGCAATTTGCAATTAACTCTCCATATGTTGTAGCCTTTCATAATTTCGACAACTAGACCGAGAATCGAACCCCCTACTTTTGATCCAGAGGCAAGGCAGATCTTTTGTTATACAGTACAGTTATGCGGCAAACTGTTCTCTCCAGCACACCAACTCCGCTGGCATGTTATCTCTCTATTTGGCCAATTTCTACTCTTTCCAGCCGCCTCCCGAAGCCTGGTAGAGGCTGTACTGACTGTACATGTACAGGTATATGTCAGGATACATCTGTTTTATCTTTCCCTACTTTAATCCCATGCTGCTCAGAGAATCCTGTGGGATGGTCCTAGTTTATTTGTCCAGTGAGCTGATACACTTCTGGAAGGTTCTAGTTGACATGTTTCTGTGTCCCAGTTCAACTGAAGATGAACAAGACTGCACCAGAACCAAAGCTGACATATTTCTGTGTCACTGAGTTCAACTGAAGATGAACAAGACAGCAACATATTATAACTTTGAAAAATACAGTTCCAGAGGGTTCTAGTTGACATATTTCTGTGTTACTGAGTTCAAGATGAACAAGACAGCAACATAACAAAAATACAGTTCCAGAGCATTCTAGCTGACATATTTCTGTGTCCCAGTTGAATTTCTAGTAGATTATATGATGTATGTTTTACATCTTAACTCCAGGAAGACTATCTACATACTTGTCTGTTTGTACTTGTATGTTTGCTAATGGAGGAAATAAAGCACCTAAAGCACCTCTACCTTCTGCTTGGAGATCAGCATGGGGCTCTATGTTTGATAATAGTATTCATACTCATAGCTCTGTCCCAATCACTCTACCATACGCTTGTCCTAATTCCTACTTTTTTATTAATTTTCATGTCTCTTAAGTCCTCCCATAGATTGACAACGCAGTTTTTTTTTCCCCAGACCGTATTTTTGCTATTATGACTTCTGCTTGGATCTAGCAGCATGGGGTTCTATGTTAGATAATAATATTCATAGCTGTGTCCCAATCACTGTACCATACGCCTGTCCTAATTCCAGCACCATCCAGCCATGCATTCTCATCTGTCACTGACTGGGAGTATTTATAGCAATGGTGGCATCTATCATAGAAAGGTCACACTCTGGATAAAATGGCCATTTACTAATTTGTGACGAATCCATAGGTGCCAGGTTTCAACCATGTCAAAGGCCTTTTAAATTAATGGTTTGAAATTAATAAATGTAACACTACCCTGGGTGCCGTCCTCTGTAGTTTCTGTCCGCAGTAGTTTCTGCCAGCTCCCTAATGTCGCTGGCTACGAGTACTACAGAAAGAGTAGAGACTGAAGAAAGACTGCACGTTTTAACAAATTTCTGGTTGGAAGAAATATGCTGTATCCAAATTCTGCATGCTTTATCAATTCCAAAAATCAATATATTTCTATACATTTGGCTGCTCTAAGAAAATTGCTTGCTTCTCATACAAGATAGCAAAATAATTATTTTGTCCACTCAACCCACTGTTTTCATTTTGCCCTACGGGTTTTGGTCATTCCTAAATTGAAACATCGGAGAGCATAGCTAGGAAATAAAGTGGTGGGAGCGTAATACACTCCAGCAAAAACGCAAGGTGAATCGTAAAACAATGGCTGTTAAAATCTGCAGGCCGAAACGTGCCAGATTACTCAATTTAGTTGGTAAATTACACTGACCTATATGTCCGAGAAAGTAGCATTTCAATATACAAATTGTACCTGTTTATTTCACTGTACTTGCACCCACTAAGTTGTACATACAAGATCTACATAAGAGGAACTCTATCCACCCTTTACTTTCAATACTAGTATGCCGATAATGAAGACAAAGTCCATGCTAATTTTTTGTCTGACATTGTTCCGTTCTTTTATGTACAGCACGGATCGATGCCAAAATACAAGTCAAACTCGTAAGAAAATTCAAACTCTACTACTGGATCAGTTAACGGATTTATTTCCGGACGTTTCGAGTGACATCCATCACTCTTCTTCAGCGTCACAAATGAACAGAGAACCGATTCACTCTTATATACAAGTAACTAGAAAAACCGGTTAAACAACAAGGTCCGTAAGAAGCTTATCATGTAAAAGAACGGTTCACTCAATGTACAGGAATTAGAACTAGAAAAACCTGTTCAACAACCGTAAGAGTCTTTGTCATGTAAGGAAGGTTCCTATGGTAAGAATTTACCATAGGAAAAGTTACTGTCCCTTGGGCTGTGGCAGGGCGGGATCCCATGTGCTTGAGAGTTCAATGCGCAGTCCCCCCTTCCTGTTCAGGGTGGGGTTGTAAATGCGCTCATAGATGGCCTCCTTCACTCCGCGCTCGTACCAACGTGGTTCACGGTCGAGGATGTCGGTTGCCTCTAGCTTGAAAGAGTGTCCCTGGTTGTGTTTGGTGTGATGGTAGATAGCAGAAGAGTAGCCGCTTGCTGTAGCCCTGCAGTGTTGTTTGTATCTCTCCTTCAGAGGTTGGCTGGTTTCCCCGATGTAGGTGTCATTGCAGTTAGGTTCCTCGCATTTGAGTCTGTAGATCACCTCTGACTTGATGCCTTTCTGTACGCGGTCTTTGGGGTGAACCAGGTTCTGTCTTAGGGTAGAATAGGGTTTGAAGTTGGTGCCGATGTTGAAGCCCTGGAGGATGCGTCGCAGTTTCTCCGATACTCCTTCGATGTAAGGGATGGTGATGTTGGTAGTGTTCTTCTTGTCGAGTGGTTTGCTTCTTGGTTTCTTAGATCTGTCGGTAGGTTGTAGGGCTTTGTTGAAGGTCCAGGTTCGGTACCCACACTTGTTAAGGGCGTTCTTCAGGTGGCTGTGTTCCTTGGACTTGGCTTCATCTGAAGTGATGATAGTGTCCGCTCTGTGGAAGAGGGTCCTTATGACGCCCAGTTTCTGTTCCAGGGGGTGGTGGGAGTTGAAATCCAGGTACTGGTCCGTGTGGGTTGGCTTTCTGTACACATCGACGCTGAGGCGGCCGTCTTCTTGTACAGTGACATTGGAGTCCAGGAACGGAAGGGAGTTGTCATGGCTGGTTTCTTGTGTGAACTTGATGTTGCTGTCAATGCTGTTGATGTGGTCGAAAAACTTGTCCGCTATTCTCTTCTGCAGTCTGCACCACGTGTCGTCGACATAGCGGAACCAGTTGGCCGGGGGAGTGTCGGGGAATGTGCTGAGGGCTTCCTTTTCGAACTTCTCCATGTATAGGTTGACCACAATGGGAGAGACCGGAGAGCCACTAGCACAGCCGTGGAGTTGATGGTAGTACTGTCCGTTTGTGACGCTGAAGAAGAGTGATGGATGTCACTCGATGGTAGTACTGTCCGTTTGTGACGCTGAAGAAGAGTGATGGATGTCACTCGAAACGTCCGGAAATAAATCCGTTAACTGATCCAGTAGTAGAGTTTGAATTTTCTTACGAGTATCGTTTACCTGGATGTCTAACCTTCATCAACGTACAAGTCAAACTGTACATCGTGTACTTGCGTATTGATTTTGCCTCACCCATAAAATACACTGTAACATGTTTGCAGTCTGCATTGTTCTGTGCTGAAGTTCAGGATTGGATTTCTGTAATGGCTGGTTTTACGTGCGCGGAGGGTGGATAGTGTTGCTCTTATGTAGATTGTGTGTGTACAAGTTGATGGGGACACAAGTACAGTGAAATAAACAGGTACAATGACAATGAACTTGTGCAAGAAGCCCTGTTACAACTGCCGATTACGCTCTACGGTAAAGGGCATGCGGGCCCCCAAACATACAACAAACTGACCCCCTACTTCTGCTTGAAGATTAGTAGCTACACATGTACACTAGCTAACCATGATGAATGTAATCTCCAAGCAGATCCTAGGGTGGCAAAAGACTCTATCAAATTGGCCAGCCAGGTGGGGTATGGACCCTCTCTGGCCAACGGATACTGCCTGGCCAATTTGATACTGTCTTTTGCCACCCTAGGATCTGCTTGGAGATTACCATGAATGCACAATTGCTTTGATTCTTTCCACAGGAAGTCTCTGGTTGTTCAGTTCACATCTGGTGGACAGGAGTTTCTCTTTGCTGCAGGGGGAATTCCCAGATCCCAACAGGACAAATAGATTTTCCTTCTGGCAGAAATTCCATTTACAGGGACACAAAGTTTAATTTATAGCTACATAAATAACAATCTATGTGGCCATGTAACAAAGTACATCACTACATGCCTGGTATATAGAATTCAGTATATCCAAAATATCTTGCATCAAATGTTATTGTATCAGAAAAAAAGGTTTTGAAATTCTATCAAATAGATTTTTCTTCTGATTAAAATTCCAGCTACATAAACTTTAATTTATAGCTACATAAAGAACAATCTATGTGAATGTGTAAGTACATGTATGGAATCCAAGTGTCTTGTTAAAATGTTTTTCCATCCAAAAATGGTTTTGAAATCCTATCAAATAAACTTTCCTTTTGGTCGAAATTCCAGCTACATAAAAAGTTTAATTCATATCTACAAAAAGAACAATTAGCGCCCATAATAACCACAACTGTAACTACATGTATAGAATTAGGTGTCTTGTTATTTGATCAAAAAAAGGGAGGAAATGTTTTAAAAACATATTGTGGTATAGGACTAATGGCTTTTCCATCTGGTTTGAATTCCACACAGCATGAAGTATAATTTATAGCTGCATAAAGAATAAACTACCCCATACTTAGTTTTAGGTAATCACAAAGTTCTAGCTAAAAATCTAACTGTTATTCAAAATTAGGTCTCTACTCCCAAAAAGTAAAAACATTTCAAAAGCCCATTCCTCTTTTGTTACTAGTGGACAAATTGTTTTTCAGTCTGGCCTACATTCCAGGCAGCATAAGGTATAATTTATCGCCACATAAAAGTAGATTTACTACTAAATAATAGAATAATTCATGGTTGGGTGTCTACAATAATTACAAAATGTGTACCTGAATATATTAGTGCAGTAGAGGAATAACATTGTTAAAATAACAAAACATAGCATTTTAGAATCTGTATCTATCGAAGCTTTTAAATAGGGTTGAGTTTTGCTTGGTTTTGTAAGTTTAACTTAAAATGTTTAACTGACCACTTTTATTTCATCATTTAATAGGAAATAGATGTTCGAAATTAGTGCACAAGAGGAATATACACTGTTAGAATAACAAAACGTAGCATTTTAGAATCTGTATCTATCGAATCTTTTAAATATGGTAGAGTTTTGCTTGGTTTTGTAAATTAATCTGCATGGTTTGTAACTAAATTAAGTTTAACTTAATAACTTAAACTTCAAATGTTTAACTGACCACTTTTATTTTATCTTTTAATAGGAAATAGATGTTCAAATTCTGAAACTCATTTTTTTGTTTATATTCTTTACATACAGCTATAACTTCATACTTTGACTAGTGTCACAAAAATGAGAAATAACTCTCTTGTTGGTGAAAATTATGTGTGGACTCAGAAAAGGGGGAAGTTAGTACAAGTGTTTTAGATCAAGAATGTCAACAAAGCAAATTCGGCTGGTGAGATCATGCAGCTATGACTAATACTTAAGACAGCTTAAACAGACTATGGATACTTTAAAGTAACACGAAAACCTTGAAAAATGTCTTGCAAATGTATAGTATTAGATGGTATTTAAGTGTAGCGATAGTCCAAGAAAAGAAAGGACCCACAAATAATTTTTGTATAACGTTTTGTCATTAAAACAGTCGTTTTTACAAAATTACGATTCATGTATTTCATCTCTACCTCTATCTCTATCTCTACATGATACGGGACAAAGTGCCTCACGGCACATCACGTCCCGGGAAGGAGGTGCAGCTGGTGTGGCAGGTGGTGGTGCGCAACAAAAATATACAAACAAATGAAAAATGATCTATAAATAATAAATTGCAAAAAGAAGAAACCGAAATGTGCAACTATATCCAAAAGCCACACCAGAAAACAAAAATAACCCTACAGCTGGGTATTGGCGGAGAGGCCAAGGTGACTGGCCAATCCCGCCTTAAACGCATCAAGGGATGTGCAAGATATGAGTGTACCTGGTAGTGTGTTCCACTCGATGACGGTTCGAGGGAAATAACTGGCTCTGTATGCTTCTGTCTTGCATGGGATGGTGATGAAGCGTGAGTGATGTCCTCTTGTAATGTTTGTGTTTTTGGTGAGAATGTTGTGTATAGGAATGGCTACCATGTTATTTACTGCTTTATACATTAGGACAAGTCTGGCTTGCTGCCTGCGTTGATGCAGGGAAGGCCATCCAAGTGTTCTCAGTGTATCTGACATGCTTGTTGTTGGTCTGTAATCTCCAGTAACGAACCTAGCGGCTCGCTTCTGTACTGCCTCTACTTTGTCTTCAAGTTTGTTTGTCTGTGCATGTAGTCGCTTGTGAGGGCCCCAAACTGTCGAAGCATACTCCAGCTGGGGTCTCACAATTGAGGTGTATGCCTGGGCTCTGATTGCTCTGCTCGCCCCCCTCAGATTCCTCCTTAAGAAACCCAGAGTGCTGTTGGCTTTTGCTGTTATGTATTCAATGTGTGAGTTCCATTTTAAGTTGTGTGAGAGTATGATTCCAAGATACGGGTGCTGTGTGTTGATCTCAAGGGGCTCAGAGAACATTGTATACAGATGTCATCAGTATAGGAATTTCATGCTAACAATATACTGCTGTATTTCTTTACTCGTAAAACTTTTTGTTGTAATGTTTTTGTTTCCTTTTCTTCCTAGAAAAGACCAGGAAATACTTTTTTCACGAAGCAACGTTAACCAGTCATTGGCGGTGTAGATTTCAAAAATAGCGTGTCTTTCTCAAAAACACAGGAAATAAAACATGACTAATCCTTAGTGATGAGTATACACACACATAGAGCTAGCTTAGATCGCGAAATTGCCGGCAAATTTGGGGGAAAAGTTGAAGAAAAAGCTCGCTAAACTTACAAAGGCCGGTCTTGGCTACCCTCCCATCGAATTAGTCATACTCACCAGGGTACTTCGAACGTCCGTACACCCGTAACCAAACATGTCAAACCCTCAAAAACTCCGGTTTTCGCCCCAAAATAATCAAAACACCTACCTCTACGACTTGCTTGTAGCCTTAGACGTTGTCTACGGTCAACTGATCTTGAAGTTTGAATGAAAATCCACGGTTTTGAGGTGTAAAACCGAGAGAGAAACAGTAAAGTTGTCGCCTGTTCGAATCCCTGTTACTGACTTGACCGGAATGACCTCAACTAGGCGGGGCTTATTTGCTTATTAGCATGCCAAAGTAGTTCTTTTATCAAAATCATCCATTTCTTCACCTTTTCTTGCGTTTAGAATGACACTTTTATCGATTCTGGCATTATTTGCGAACGATGTTGATGAATTTAAACCGTTAAAATTCCAAGTATCATTAAAATGGGCGATTTTGTACTTAAGGTGTCAGCGGAAGGATATGCCAGTAGTAAGGCTTAAATAGCACTCCGCGTTAGACATGCGCCACCTGTCTGTTTCTGAAAAGCAGCGCAAGTATCAGTTCGAAGAAATCTTACAAAAGACTTGCTTTCTTAGCCGATTTCAGCGGAAGGATCGCTTTTTTGAAGGAATTCTATGTTTGTTGTTTCTATTTTCACTGACAAATGTCAAGTACTTGACTTCTCTTTTTGGCAAAGCGCCCGCTTGTTTCAAAGGTTAGAACAGCACCTAGACTACACCTTTCCGAATAAGATATGTTTAGACACAAAGTTTGTATCAACAAATAGAAAGCGCTAATCCCTCCCGACCATTGTTTGAGCTGTATACCTAAGCAAAGTCTAGATATTGTGTTACTTTGGGAATGGAATCGAAGGTCGAATTTAGGGCAACGAACTTGAAAAGTCACAAAAGTTCAAGTGCAAGTAGACCCACGAAACCACTAATGAGTTGAACTTGAAAAGTCTTCCGCGTTTTGGCGAAAGAAATGGAAGGGGGGATTTTAGAAATCGTCATTATGAATGCAAATTTGTACTCTTCAAGCAATGGTTTTGGGTCTCGGCTTATAGCCTCTACCAGGCTTCGGAAGACGGCTGGAAAGAGTAGAAATTGGCCAAAGGGAGTTGGTCCGCTATATTATAGAGTACAGTTTGCGGCAAAAGTAGAGTTTGGGCTTTTTTCTGGCTTTTTGTTTCTGTACCGCTATTCAAGTTTTTCGCTAGCCAAACTTTGAACTTTGAACCTGCCT